TCTTTATCTTTGTTCCTCCTCGCTTCTGGCGCGGGAAAATACTGTAAAGAAGAGACCTGAACCTACCTAGTCACTTCGGTTCATTGGGTCCCGATGGCTGAGAGGAGGAGTGAGTGACTGGCATATGGAAGAAATGATGCTATCACAGACAGGAGGAGTGTCCGCTCCGGTCCGGGAAGACGGGTATGCGGCCCTTCTTTCAACCTGCCCGTTCTTTCCACTTTCCACTTTCTCTGGGGAAGAGACGGACGGCGGTTTCATCAGTTCGAGTTGTGGATGAGAACTGCAAGTTCAACTCGTCAGTTCGTTTTGGTATCTGTGATATGACCTGCATTATCCATCCACTGTCTGTGTGGAAGCTCGAAGATCATATCTAGCCATTGAGTAAAAAGCCTCAATATCAGACCTTTCTTTCGGGACACTGACAACACAAAGACCAAGCATATCAAATCATGCCATGTCGGCAGATAACGGAGTTTCTTTTTTCTTTTGTTCCTCTCTCTTCCTTTCTGTTTTTCATGAGTCACGCTCGCACATGTGAATGTGACTTGACTTGCTTCTTCACACACATGAAGTTCTCTCTTTCCCCCGCACCACGACACTGGTCATAGGAGATCGTGAGGATATGAATGGTCAGAAACGTCAAATGCTCGATAGAAAATGGAGTACACTATGCCTTGCAGGAAAAGCATTTGTTTCATGTTTCTCCCGCTGCCACATGAAACAATGAAACATCATCCATCTGTCAACCCAAAGAGTGACAAAAGTGGAAAAAAGAACGGGAAAAAGAAAGAAAACTGCCGAAGGTCTGGTACCTGGGACGGACGATGGCACACCACATGTTTAGTCCAATGGATAACAATGGAGTCGTCGGAGTTAGTTTGACACTTCACCAAGCATTAGTTCGGGATGCTAGCTACATAGCTTGCGTTGTTAGTGTTAGTTTTAGTCCATATAGTGTTCTGCATGTTTTAGTACGTGTTGTGGATGACTCCTCTTTTTTTTCTTCCTCTCTGTCTTCGCTGTTTCTATTCTTCCAGTGCACGCTTCCCCTCTCTTTTCTTTCATAGTTTCTTCCAGGGCGAGACCGAACTGGCCATGGGAGAAGAGAGTCGGTAGACTTCTAGACAACTTCCAGTCTTTGGTTCTGCCTCACTTCCATAGAGGTATGCAGGGCATACATGCTACCCATACACATCATTCCCATATGTTGGTAGATTCAACGTCGTCCAATCGACGGGAAAACTTACCCATGTCCGAAAAGGTAATAGTTACACTAGTGGTATAAGTCGACCTGAGAAGTCTGATTGGTCAAACGGTACATTCGGACCCTTGTGGGGAATATGGGAATTGGTCGGGCTTCCATGCGGCACGCAAAGACAGGGGGGAGGTGTCCGAAGACTCGAAAGGTGAAAAGAAACACAGAAAAAGGGAAAGCGTGTTTTTTGCTTGACTGTGACAGCACAACAGCGGAGTTGCAGAAACTTGCAGATCGTGGATCTGGTGTTGCATGAAAATTGGAGAACAAATCTGCAAGAATCGTTGATGTTGAGAAAAAAGCTTCCGTTCGGAGAAAAGGCCGCGGGCCGCCGCCGGCGACGTTAGGTAAAACAGACGGGACACGACCCCGACTCCGAAAATCCCCGTGGTTCTCGCGCAGTTCTCGGTGTCATCCAGGCGAGGACCGGAGGCGATGAAGTGTAAGCTTTTTGCATGCCAAGGGCTTGGGGTGCGGTAGTTGCATGAGGACCAGGAAACGTTACTGAGAGGCACGGCTTCGGGTTTCCTTTCTTGAAGGTGTCCTTGCTGGCGCCTGGGTTGCTGTATGAGTCTCTTTTGAAGATCGGTTTTCCTCTCGGACTGATGCTGTTGCTCGGCGAGTTCAACGGAGAAGGACGCTGGAAGTTGTTGTACGACACATCGTGGCTGGCCGCGGTCCTCTCGGTGTACGAAGGGAATGAATATCGGCCTCGATGTTGGACGGGCGCTTAATTGTTGAGGAGGATGTGGGTTTCCGATCCGAAGATCCTCCCTCCCTTGATATGCCTCTTTCCGTGAGTGAGACTCTCGAGATGTTAAGCGCCTTCAAAACCTCGTAATGAGGCTGTGCAACTGTCGACCTGTTCCATCGTCATCAAGCCTCTTTTTCGAACCGAAAAATGAAGCAATTTTGAAGGCATTGTCAGATGATGAACAGGAGAGCTTCGGATGTCGGATTGGGCTGGCAAAGGTGGTCTCTAACAATTTCCGTAACCGCCCAGGCGCCGCTGATGTTAGCGCATGTTCATGGCAGTTCATGCCCTCAACAAACGGCCTAGGAAATTACCTAAGCAAGGGCACGGCACGATTGGGCGGCTGTTTGATTAACTCGACCCGCTACGTTAGCTCTCGTCGCTTCAGCTCACACAAATCCTTAACAATTGACCCCAAGCAACATTACGCAAGCGCCCGCGCTTCCTACGGTCGTCAGCTTGACATCTTCCCTAGAGGTATTCTCTGTTTTCGTGGCGCTTAGTTTCGGTGAGAAACCGAAACGCCGCTTGAGGATTCATGCTGCAAATTTCCAACCTCCTCTGAAAAGACACCGGACCTGCTCGATCCCGGCCTTGGTTACCTCCGGCGGTCGATTGTAATACAATGCAATTTCAGTAACCGCTCGCATCATGAAGCTTCATCAAAAAACTCGACCGAAACCCGGCCTCTCTCCCCAAGAAGTTGAAAGCTAGGTATGGAGTTGATGGATCCACCAAAATAGGGCCGCCATAGGGTCGGACGTTTCTCCTAGCCCTTTTCTCAGAGAGAGATGTGACTGGTAGCGGGGAACCATCGTGGAGCAGCTTTGGAGTCTCGAGCAGAGACATGATGCGAGAGAGACATCGACGAGCACGCCCAACAAGCTCTGGATAGCCGAGAAAGTCAAACGAAAGGATGGAGAGGATGGGTGCCCAACCCGCCTTACTTTTTTGTTAGTGTCGGCCTGGCATGCAATGCAATATGTATGGATATTGCGAGCTATCACTATCACCGAGATAGCGGGAGGCGAATGACTTTTAGCTGTCGTATCAGAACCGTTTCTGAGGACGTTCTGGATTCAGTGGGAAAGAGCTGGCCTTGCATCCGTGCCTGACCTTCTATAGTCGAGCTGTGGCAGCCTTCCGTATGGCTTCTCGACTCCTGCGGATGGGTCCGTTCAGCAGTCCGGCTCAACGGCCTAGCATGCCCTCGTCGCCGCGGGGTAGGTGGTCTAGCTGCCGCGTTGAGGGGTCTTTGAGAACTGCTAGTGGTGGTGGTGATGTGGTGGTGCGGTGGTGTCCGGGTGGTGTTGCGAGAAAAGGACGCGATGGGTTCGAAGCCTTGCTCCATCAGACGTGTCGTGGCTCGACTCGATGGCCCTGGCTGCGATGTGCTGCGGGAAGCACCGTCGTGATGACCCCGCGCCGAAGTGGCATAGCATGATCGACCCCCATTGTGTTCCGCCCCGTCTGGACTTGTCATTTGTTCCCCCGCCCTATCCCGATACTTTCAAATTGTCCCCAAAGACAATGCTCCAACGGAACAAGTTCTGTCCCTGGCCCGCTCTTACAGCTGCCATCTGCCAATCTGCCCGCCTCGGTGCGGTCCCTACGTCGTCCCGCGCCTGGCGCCTGGGCCCCAGATCTCGAGAGAGCTTCACACAAGTACCGCTGTTACTGGCGAGTGCTGGAATGGGTACAACCGACCCTAGACGGGTAACAGTGCTACGCTGTAGGCGGGACCATGTGTCTAAATATGACTCATAGACGCCTGCATGGCGGCTTGCATCGACATGGGATTCCAGGCCAATGGTGTTGCTGAGATGCGCATCTACCTTCAACTTCTCAGAACTAGGGCTGCCCAGAAGGGAAAGGGGCCCTTTTTGCTTCAAGTCTCATCAAGGGAGCTTGGGCCATCCAGCGTTTTGAGGAAGCTTCCACATGGAATGAATGGAGCGAGAGAATGTGTAACTGCCGGTACGTCTTCTTTGTTTCCTTTGTCCCATTGTGTTCCCTTCCCCGATCTGACATGTTGATGCAGATAATTGAGATTCAAGATGATTGGTATCTTATCAGTCTGCCCCATCACCATCTCCTGAATGGTGTTTTCGACCTGTGTTTACATCTTTGACGTCCAACTTCAAAGCATCATGACTCTAGAAACCGACAACGACAATGGCGGCTATTCTATCCGTCGAATTTGAACCCATTTCTCAGTTATCCAAATAAAACGTCGAGTGACATGACCCTGGGTCTCGACGGGCGCCATAGATCTCCGCGTTTCAGGTTTATTTTGATATCTGGGCAATCAGAACCGTCCATGGGCTCCAGCCTTAAACCGACTGCCAAGCTGCTAACCACCAAAGACTAGGGTCGTGACAAGGGCAAAGGGTAGCAACGTAGCCAAGGTAGCACTGAGGGCTGCAATCGCTCTTCTTTTTTCTGTCTCTTTCTGGCAATCCCTCTTGGGCCTCTCCACCAGGGGTAGGTATTCGCGCCTTACACTAAAAAGTATTCACAAGAGATACGTACCTTTCCGAGCGAGTACAGCTTACACGCCTGTGTCTCCGAACATGTCTCTCATGTCGTTTTCGCGACCGCGGTCCACGCTTAACGCTAGTATTCCCATGCCCATGTTTCTCGCGCCGGCAATGGGCATCCATGGTCCAGTCCTCTGCTGCTGCATCATGGGTCCATACTCTCCGGCCATCCATGGCCTATGATCTCGGATTTTCTATCTGAGCATGAGGATAAGTATAACCTTGCTTCCCTTCTCTCATTGCCCCTTCTTGCTCCATATCCAAACATCATCTTCTCTCCAAGCATCTAGAGTCTCAGAAGTGTTCGGGAAGACCGAACCTTCAACCCTTTCCTTCCTTTTCACCTCCACTCTCATACAACTTAGAATCATCATCGGAGCGGGTCTCCTTTCTATCCTTACCGTCCAACTAATCTTGTAATCCGCTCCTTCACTACACAATTTTCAACATGTCTACGTAAGTTGTTCACCTTACCCCTGGCTGCCATCATCTTCACATGCTAACGGTTTGGAAATAGTCTGGCTGGTATCCCTTACGAGTTCACATTTCCATCGTGTGAACTTCCAGTCACTCCGCCAAGCTTTACGTTTGACCCGTCTCTCCTTGAGATCAACTTCAACCCTCACCATGCGCGCTCCGTCTCCCATAGCTCATCCGCCTACTCCTTTGAGTCTCCCTCAGAATCCGTGAGCCAGACAAGCACACGAAGGACGACACCGGTCCGGAGCCGGTCACCCATTCGTACCCATGGACCTCTTCTCCTCCCCAAGATCCGCAGCCAGGACCAGGCCATCGATCCATCCGCCGTTGCTGCTCCGGCTCCCAAGCGTGCGAGAACAATGCCGGGCCCAAATATCCAAAGGGCCAGGGCCAACACCGACAGCTTCCGACCTGTACACCAGCGTAGCTACACCAACCCAGAGGCCATCTCCTTCGCGGCTCCTCTCCCCTTCACCGAGGACAACAGCAGCATCGTCTTCGCCCCAGTCAACTATGTTGCCGAGCCTTCATCAGTACCTCACTCTCGCCGGGCTTCCTCCTGCAGCCTGGACAACGTCACCATCGAGAGATATGGCTATCCCACCTACCGCCAGATGCCGACCTACGTGCCATCCCAGTCTCGGACCAGCCTCAGCCCGTCGCCCACGCCGCAGCCCCAGGCCCAGTTCCCTCAGCCAGAGTCGTTCATGTACCAGTCCTATGCGCCGCGCGCACCTTCGCCTCTCGCCCCCGCCGCTCCCATCACCCCTGACATGACGCCCTCGACGACCCTCCTATCCTACCTCACCTCGTCGAACCCGGCCCCCTCGCTCGTCCGCACCATCTCCTTCCCGCTCCGGGATCCCCACACCAAGCACTTCTGGTGGGACGTCCGACAAATCCGCCCCTGGACCTCCTTCACCGCGGCCTCCATCCTCTCCATCCCCGGCGCCTCCGCCTGCCTCTCGGTGCCCATCAGCCAAGCTCTCCTCCCTTCGGCCGCCTCAAGTCATCGCCACCCCGAGACCGAGTTCGCTCTCCACTCCATCTACTCAGCGCACTACCTCCCCAAGCTCAACGCCGCCCTGGCCCTCTGCTCGCAGCGCCCCCTCCAGCTCTCCGTGCCCTCCAAGAGCCCCATGGCCGCCGTCAACCCCGCCGCCGCCGCCGCCTCCTCCGCAGCGACAGAAAACATGTTCATCGCCAACGTAGCCGGCGAGTCCGCCACCAACAGCGTGGCCGCCATCTTCGGCGGCAAGCCGACGGCGCGCGTCGTCGGGCTCGTCAAGTCCTTCGACCGCTTCAACACGGGCATGCGCGTCGAGGGCAACATCAAGCGGGTCGAGTACCTGCGCGGGCTCGCGCACCTGCACCACGTCATGCGCGAGCACGGGTGTCGGTATGGGTTCATCTTGACAGAAATCGAGCTGGTGTTTGTCCGCAACGGGACGGACACCACGCCCCATTTCGGCTACCTCGAGGTCGGAAGCGTGCAGCTTGCTGCTACGAGCGATAATGCGGCGGTTCACACTCCCACTGATGTGAACGAGGTGCCTATGACGGCTTGCCTCGCGCTGTGGGGGCTGTGCATGCTGGCTGGTGATGAACCTGTTCCGGGACAGGTACATTGGAAGAGCGAGATCGGTGCGCCCGCTGAGGGGACGAGACGCAAGGCGTTGGGTAGGGATGAGTGGATGCCGCAGCCGCAGTTGGCGGAGAAGAGAGAGGCGAAGAGGAGTCGTGGGTGGATTTGGCCCGAGGATGCGGTGGGCAGGAAGGAGTTGGGAAAGAGAGGTGTGAGGTATGGTGCTTGCTAAGTTCCTGGTTGAACTTGTGGCACATCACGCGAAGATGGAAATGGCAAAAAGGAGTCTGGTATAAGGGGACAGTATCCGTCGATCTGGCATCGCATCATCTTGACGAAGTGAAGAACAGGTTTCTTTATTTATCTGTCAAGAGTGGTACTACTCCCTTTTCTCCCTTCCGTCCAGTCCGGTAATGGAGGAGAAAGTCTGGCACTCCCCCCTCCTCAACATCATTCTTCAACCTGGTTGTTGAGGATTTTGCATTTGGCTTTTTTTCATGGAGTTTAGACACGGCAGGCAGCATGGATTTTTAAAATGGGTGGCTCTAGCATTTGCATTTTTTACATACCTTTACTAGCATACCAATTTTTCCTTTGTTGTCATTAAAGAAAGGATAGGGGCATCTAGAAGACTGGTTCATCATGATGTCGGAGGGCAGCAGCAAGGAGGAAAACTTTTGCATATATACCATATACATATCAGATACCATACAATCATACAACAGCAGTGCATATGATACCAACTCGGTTGAACACCACAGCATCTCCGCGTCTCTTGTGTGAACTGATCCCAATACCTTACTTACCAAGATATCAACTTTCTCCGTCAATGACAGGAGATGAGGAGGGTGAGGATAAGATACCTCTCTCCCCACCGCCATCGTCAATGATGACAGTACTGCAACTGATATCTCTATCAGCCAGTCGCCTCAGAACTGAAGTTGTTGTTGTAATCAACAAAGCTTACTTGGCTTCAGGTACCTGATGGGTTACCCTAACTTTCCATCCGTTCCATGTCTTCTATTTGACCGAGTCTCTTTTTAAGGCCGGGGCATTCAGCCCATGTGCCAGGTGATGATCCTGCGTTAATGTCGTTGCTTGATTCCTTTCCAAATCTGAATAGCTCATCCATCCTCAAGCTCGAGTGCAGATTCTGTTCTTTGCTGGTATCTCCCTACCTACCTATGTAAAACGAGAGAAAAAGCTTTTGCCGATCTCCTGCCCATCAACCTTTGGATCTTTTTTACATGCTTTAGTGTCCGTCCATCTATCCGCTGTCTCTTTCAGTTTTCCCAGACAGACCTTGTTTGCTTCATATCCATTCATCCGTCCATTCATCCATTCATTCATCCATTCATTCATTCATTCATTCATTCATTCATTCATTCATCGACCCTCCTCTCTATCTCCTGTTTTCCTTCTGTGCTAGCTACCTAGGTAACTTGACCGGATAATTCAAACGCAAGAGCACCACCTTCTGCGCCCTTTTCATTCCCTCTGCTTCTTCGCAAGAACCTTGCTTGGGGGCTGGTCCACGTTACACTTCTTCTTACACAGGTGGCTTCCATGCATGCATGGGAGGGAGATAAGTACAGGCCCATGTGTCTGGTGCACCTGAGGAGGATGGATGGTTGGTAAGGTAGGTTGTTGTGTACTGCAAATAACCAAATTCCAAAGGCGTAATGTCGAGCGGGTGTTGCGCAGGTAGGCGCACAAAACACGAGGAGCTGAGGTAACTCTTGTGTTTGTTGGTAGTTTGGTTGTTTTTAGTCACCGACATACTGGGAAGTCAGTTAGTGTTGGATAATGGTTGGAGTGACTTCAGGCGTTCTGTTCTTCCCGGGAAAGAACCTTTAGGAGGCGAGAGCACAGGAAGAAGAGGATTGTAGAACGACGAGCACCATATGACGTCCGACGGGACTATGAGCTGTTCAACAATCAGCAGTAGACCCAGGGAGAAGCGTGGGAGAGGGATTCGTGGTCGAAGACTCAAGTGGCAAGCAAAGAAAGGGTGCTCTTGGTAGTCCAATACGCAATGAGGTTAGGGAATTCCTCCACCTAAGTGCATGAAAACACGCTGATAGACTACTACGATAGTGGGAGGAGAAACATGTAGTACAGGATACACATCGCCAATACATATCCAAAACATTATGAACGGGAAAAGTATCTTGGGAATCATCATTCATGTGTATTGACAGTTTACGTCTAGCATTTAGCTCTTGGCGGCACCGGCCTTGAAGAGGATGATATCACCATCCTCAACAACGTAATCCTTGCCCTTGGTCATGACCTTGCCCTTGGCCTTGACCTCGGCTTCGTCACCACCGAGCTCGCGGAGGACGTTGTAGTTGTAGACGACAGCCTGGATGAAGGTCTTCTCGAAATCAGTGTGAATGACACCGGCGGCCTGGGGAGCCTTGGTGCCGTTACGGATGGTCCACTGGCGGACCTCATCGGGACCAGTGGTGAAGAAAGAGCCGAGGTTAAGGGCCTTGCGCATCTGGATGATGATCTTGGGCAGAGCGGACTCAGCGCCAACCTTCTTGCACTCCTCGGCAGCCTCGGCCTCGGTCTCGAAGCGGGTGAGGCGCTCCTCGAAGGAGACAGAGAGGGGGATGATGGGATCACCCTTGGCGTGCTCGTTGATCCAGGCGGCAATCGCGGGAAGATGCTTGTTCTTCTTGCGGATGTAGTCGCGCTCGGAGAGGTTGACGAGGTAGACGACGGGCTTGGCAGTCAGAAGGAAGAGAGGGTTGATGACCTCGATCTGAAATCACAGAGTTAGCAGATGTTTTCGATAGCGAATAGCGAAACATGATGCATGGTGATTGGTGGAAGGGATTGTCAGGTATAAAGTTTTCGTCTCATGTATCCTCAAAGAGGAATCGAAGAGCTGGGTTTATAATGAGGCGCTGCGGCCTGTTCTCATCATTCAAAGGATTGGGGAATTGTGCAGATGGGGGAATCGTTTGCTTACCTCCTTGGGACCCCCAGGTGCCCTTGCGGACCTCCTTGCCGTCCTTGAGGTGGGCCAAGATCTTCTCGATAGTGGCCTCTTCCTCCTTCCACTGCTTCATCTGAAGAGACTGACCGCCCTGGCGGGTCTTTTTCTTCTGGTTCTCAAGGGCCTTCTCGACGAACTCGATATCCTTGAGACGAAGCTCCTCGCTGATGATGTCAAGATCACGGGTGGGGTTGACATCACCCTCGACGTGGATAATCTCGGCATCATCGAAAGCACGGACGACCTGGAAGATGGCATCGACGGCGCGGATGTGGGACAAGAAAGCGTTGCCGAGACCGGCACCGGTGGAGGCACCGCGGGTGAGACCGGCGATATCGTAGACAGTCAAGTTGGCGGGAACGCGCGACTTGGGGTTGTACTTCTCGCAAAGCCAGTCGAAGCGCTCATCAGGGACGATGACGCGGGCCTCCTCGGGGTCGATGGTGGCATAGGGGAAGTTCTGCGCGCGCGGGGTGGACGTGTTAGTTTCGCGTAATCTTAATTGTCATCGCCGCCGTCGTCTTCGTCGCCATTGAGGGAGGGAGGGTGTCGCTTACGGCAGGGTTACCAAGGTTGCACTTGGTGATGGCCTGGAAGAGCGTGGACTTGCCGACGTTGGCCAGTCCAACCTAGAATCGGCATCGAGAACAGTGTCAGCGGGGTTGGGGAGATGGAGCCTAACCTAGGCGCAACCCACAATGCCGCTCTTCAGGTTGTTGCCGGGACGGCCAAGGAGGATCTTCTCCTCGACGACCTGCTTCTTGGGAGGCATCTTGTTCCGCTTGCTATAAGAACGGGTGGAGATGTAGACGAAGGTGCAGTCAAGCCCTTTTCTGTTTGGTTGAAGTGGACGCGACGAGAGGGGGAAAGAGGCAGAGCGGAAGCTGCGAGAGCTGGAGCTAGCAACAGCTGCTGCGACTTTGGTTCGGAGGAGGGGTAGAGAGTTGGAGGGTTGAGAAGCGGAAAATAGGGATCGGAGCCCTAGGTGAGGAGACGTTTTGACGGTTGCCAGTGGGCTGAAAGGCTTACTACCCCCGCCCAAAAAATACACAACGTTTCGGTAAGTGAAAAAAGTGTGAAAAAAGAGAAAGAGGAAGGCGAAAGCACCAGCCGCTAAGAAGGAACAAGTCAATGTCTCAAAGCAGGCTTTCCTAGGAATAGTATGGTCGATCGCTTGATGGTCCAAGGTTGTTTGATGAAAGAAAAGAAAGAAAGAAAAAGAGGACAAGAACCAACGTTGTTCAATTTGCAAGGACAAGTGGTATTTTGTTTTGGGGGTTTTGTTCCTTTGCGAGAATTGCTGATCCCAAAAGATCACAGAGGGAAAAAGTGCCCAACGCAAATTTTTATCGGCCCTTGTTTGAAAACAACTCCGGCCCGAAGCCAAAAACATGGATCGTGTCAGTCTGTGTTTCCAGCTTGAAGAGTGGGGTGTCCTTCCCATTTGTCCTGGAAGATCGATTCACCGACCGATTCAGGCCCTCGCCCTGAGCGGGGTGTTGCTCGCAGGCGGCTTCCCTGCTGTGATGACGCTTTGCGACGACGACCCCGGCAAGAACACCGACGCACGCAGCTGCCAGCCGCAAAGGTGCGAGATCAGGTCCAAAGGGTCCCACCCCTCCCGGCTGCACCTCCAATGTCATTCATTGACTGCTGCCATCTCGTCCCGTCGTCGTACAAACCACCCCCAGATCGAGCAAATTGGAAGCATTTCGGATCGTCATTTAGCCTGTCATTTACGCATTTACATCCCACAGCTTTACATGCCTCTTCATACAATACATCCAACATTATCTACGTGTCCATTTTCCATCCTTCGTTATCGCCTGCTGCTGGAAGCGTCCGTGTTCCCAACTGCTTCGTGCGTCTCCCGTCGTTTCGCCTCCACCCTCCATCATCGACCTTCGCAATAAGCGCTTATCGAGCGGTTGGGAGCTGAATAGCAGCTCTTTGTTCCATCCCCAAGGGTCCGAGACCTTGTCTTGAATCGCCAACATCCGAGTCCGCATGCGCCGTATGAAGCAGTGATCGATCTTTATTTATATAACAGCCGAGTTCATCTACTTTGCTTCCGCCCGTTCGGGAGTTTCAACACTCCTGTCCCAGGTCCTCCTCCATTTGTCCATTTGAGCGGGGAAGAGCTGCTGCGAAACCGTCGTCACCATGTCAACCAAGAAGTCGCACAAGCCAACAAGGTCTCACCGATCGACCCTGTCAATCCAAAAGACCGAGATCCTCATCAATGTCTACGATCTTCTGCCGGTAGGTTCCCATCTTCTCCGCCCTGAACTATTCCCCCCATTGGTACAATGGGAGTACATACTAACCAGCTCTCTCTCTTCGCTTCTCTAGCCCGGCCACATCTCCTCGACCCTCTGGTTCCTTGGAACCTCCCTCCTCCACTCCGGTGTCGTCATCAACGGCCGCGAATACGCCTACGGCGGTCATGCACACCGAGGCAAGACGGGCGTCTACTGGACGGCGCCCCGCACCGAGCCACCCGGCGGCACCTTCCGATGTGAGCTGTTGCACGGCTTCACGCTCGCGACACCGGCCGAGATCGACGCCATCATCCGCGAAGTATCCGAAGAGTTTCTCGGAACCGCCTACAATCTGTTAACGAAGAACTGCAACCACTTCACGTCGCACCTGTGCCAGAAGCTGACGGGGCTGCCCGGGCCGGCATGGCTGAACCGTGCCGCCAGCATTGGCGTGGCTTTGCCATGCGTGGTGCCCAAGGACTGGATTGAGGTTCCCGAGTATGATACGGCAGACGGCGAGCTGGTTGATGACGTCGACCATGGCGGTAGTGGGCGTGGAAATGGTGGACAGCAGGGACAAGGGGGGCGGGACAAGAGAGAGGAGAGGAGGGCGGCGAGAGAGGAAAGGAAGCGAGTTGCGAGGGAGGAAGACGAAGAGGAGCTATTGGCAGACGAGCGGTCGAGGATGCTGAGGAGCGCTGGAGAGTCACCTACGCTTGTGGACCTGAGGAGGGAGAGGGACAGCGAACGAGGAACAACGACATATAGTATTGGTAATGGTAATGGTATAGGACGTGAGGGGCAGTACCGGGACGATGAGGAGGAAACAGACAGTGGGAAGGGGAAGGGAAAGGCGGCGGCGGTGGCTACGAGAGATTCTGCTGGCAGAACGCTACCGCCTGCCGAGAGAGCACCGACTTCTTGTTGAGGTCGAGCTGCTAGGATGAGATCACTTTATTATTATTCGGGGCCGGGTTTCTTTTTCTCATTTTGCATGGCATCGATGGAGTTTTGAATTGGTGTTTCTGTTTCTGTTTCTGTTTCTGTTTGGGTTTGGCTGTCTGTCTGTCTTTGGGAGGTTAGCTACGCGCTTCATCAGCACTTTTTCTTTTCCTATGATACCAATTTGCGCATCATTGCATTCCATTCCATCATTCCATCATGGCCCGGTGAATCCGCAGGACAAGGAAAGCCAACGTTTTGAGGGGTATGTTTTCCGGTCTGAGCTATTTTGTTTATTCTACGCGCTGAGTTACTCTTTGTCTGAGCCCTGAATGTCATTTGATTCTCCCTCGATTTCAGGAAAAGTCTAGTACAATGAACCTTTGACATTGCTTCTTCGCGCATCAACCTGTCCTTGACCAACTTCCATCTTGCTCTCCATGGCATCCCATCTAGGTACTGAAAGTAACATTCTGCATATCTCTCGAGTATAAATATCACAATATTGAGATGCCGGAAGACAAGGGCAATGCAAAATTTCGATAGCATCTTTCCTTCAAGTTGTTTGGTGCTATCTCGTGGATTTGGGGAATTTGTGAAGTGACCTTCCTCTCAACCTTGCCTGCCATCAAGGTTTCTTCTCCAGCGAAAACAATGAATGGTTGCAATAACCAAACCAGTCAACAATGAAAAAAGTTGAAGCGTGCCGAAGCTGCGAGTACAAACAAACAAAACTGCAAAAAGGAAGCAAAAAGAAGCGAAAAAAAGTAGTGACTGGAGTGGGATTCGAACCCACGCATCTTTCGATACTAGAATACACCTCACCTTGTGGTGAAGAAGAATTTGTAGTTCTTGAGTCTAGCGCCTTAGACCGCTCGGCCATCCAGCCATTTGGGAAGATTGTTGAACTTTAGTTGATACGGTGTATTTATGTACGCAATATAAGCATCCACCACACCACATCCAACCAGATAAGTACACAATTAGGTAGAGTGGTAAGCAAGCATGCAAAACTATTCACTAGATGCAAGCAGAATAGAAGATGAGTGGGGAAAGTAAAGACCAATCTTGCGTGTTTGAAGTGCTATTAAACGATTTGGTGGAGTGACAGATAGTAAATTGTTTATGTGACGGAAGATGGGGACGCAATAAGGGTTCATGGCGAAAAGCCGCTTCGGTTTGTTATGTCTAAGTCTAGGAATTGGGACTGAGATGCATCGCACTCACGAAGTGCACAACGTGTGTTTATGCATAGGTATGTAGGTACCTACCTAGACTTTCATTGAAAGGTTCGTCACTTGCGTTTCACCAGGTTTGCGAGATAAGCATCGCCGACCCGGCACATACCATGCATGTTCCTCTTGTCTGGCGTTCGGGTGCTCAGTCTACTACACACACAGCCTTTCCCATAACGAACGAAAATGAGAGGGAGAGAAGGGTGGTAGAAGACAGAGAGAAAGATATAGGTACCGGGACCAGGCAGCGATTGGTGTTGCCCATGTTGATGAAATCGGAAGTTTCCATTATCACTATTCACTGCTGGGAAATCCAATTGCATCGGATTGTTTCCAGAAATTGGTAGTGTAGCCTTTCTTCAATATTTCCAAGCAGTTGTCTTCTGTTCCTTCAGTTATATACAGCCTCTCTAGCCAAATTTTCCTTCTTCCCTTCCCCTCATCGATCTATTCATTCTCTTTCTCCGTTTCTGTGAACTTGCAACCGAAAAAAAAAGGTCGTTCAAGCAACAACCGGCGCAGCAGCCCCCTTGCCCTTCAGTGGACCCGCCTCTCCCCTCTCAACCCTTGCATTCCACACAGCCATCTGCTCGCAAAACCCAGTCAAGGTATCCGTCACACCGGTATACCCAATTCCACCCTCCTCGACGCTCTTCCTGGCCCTGGAGTCATCGCAAATCGTGTACGCAGAAACGGTGAAAACAGCCGGCTGCAACATGGCCAAGTCGCCGGTGGGCTCCTTCCATCCGAACAGCTTGGTGAGAATGGGGAAGTTGATGATCAGATTAGCCCAGCCTTCGATGGCGTAGGCGAGGATGAGCATGAGCACGGGCGGCGGGTAGGTCTCGGTGACGGGGGTGACGGAGAGCGTGCTGACGGTGGAGTAGAAGTCGCGGAAGGTGATGGGCGGGCAGGGGTCGGTGACGAGGAGGGGACGGCCGGCGCAGGGCGGAGGGACGGCCCGGACGGAGGGGTTGAGTGCGGCTTCGAACTGGAGGTGGGCGATGGATACGTTGCGGGAGGAGATCCAGTTCTGGCTGACGTGCGGCGTCCAGGAGACGATGTCGCCGGCCTTGAGAGTAGGTCCAAATGTTACGTCGTTCTCGACGTCTCCGAAGATGCCGTTGCCGGGACGGACGACGCCGGTGCGGAAACCTTCTTGGTTGGCGGCGCAGACTAGACGTTCAGCTTCGGCCTTGGCGCGAGCGTCTTTGTGCCGTTGTTAGCAAGACTTGTCCATCAATACTCTAATGATCGGCGCTTGGGGTGAGACTTACAGTTGCCAAAGAACTCATCATGGGCCTTCAGAGGCTGATCAAAATCATCCTCGTTGAACACTTGGACATAATTGCTTGCCAGGCTAGGAAGAGGCCATTTCCAGAACTTCATAGGCTTGACGGCAACGGAGGAAGATGATGTGGCGATGAAGATGTCAGCTCCGGCTTCCTTGGCACCAGCCAGGACGTTGGCGGTACCGCCGACATTCACGCGAGCGACACGGTCATAGGTCTGGAGGCTCCGTTCACCGGGACGGATCACGGCGGCAGTGTGGTAGACGGTGAGGGGAAGACCGGCAACAGACGCAGGCCATGGCTTGGAGAAGGCAGCCTTCACGGAGTTAGGCGAGGTGATGTCGGTCTTGATGACGTCGACATTGCTGGCCACACCGAGAATATCGGGACGACGAAGGGGAGCAAAGTCAACGATCCGGATGCCCTCCGGGGACTGTCCACGAGCGAGCAAGTGTGCGACAATGTCACCTCCCACAAGACCTATCGTGGCGTGTTAGTTACGGTTCCCCCTTTTCATATTTCTCCGGCAGATGGATTGGGGCTGGCATGTGTTTTTGAAAACAGAAACTAACCAGAACCGCCCACAACGATGTACCGTCTGTCCAACTTGGGTGGGAGATGCTTCTTGATATCGATGGGGTTCTTCTTGACCCGTTCATATGTTTCCCGCATAAGCTCCTTAGACCAGCGGTTGGAATCGGGCGACAGTTTCTGGGCCTCAGGTGGGACCGTCATCATGGTCCTGTTGACTCCATAGATCCAAAGGGCGCCGACGACAATGACAGCAAGGCCTAATGACCAAAGACTGAGTCCTTCCGTCATGATTTCTCGTGGCTCGTGATGGCCCTTAGTCGTTGGAGAAACTCCCGGATGCGAGATCCCGCTGCGTGTCTCGAAGGTCGGGATTCTCAAGACGTTGTGCGTCTTGAAAGAGCAGCCGTGGCAAGCAAAAACGCAGTGCAACCAGACGCTCCACTGCTTGCTGCGCACGAAAATGAAGCCGTTGCCGATGTTGTTTAACCAGAGATTAGGATTCACGCTGGTCGTTGCTGGCTTGGCTCCCCCTTTTATTCATCAATATCCGCGTATCCGTGGCGCTCCTAGCCCAGACTATCTGTCCCCTCAGCAAGCACACAGTAGATTTGGGCGCCTGAACAAGGATTGGCCGCCTGTAGATCTAGGGGTCGCTACCAGATGGAAAATCCCTGATTGCCCTCTGAAGCCGCGGCCCATCCGAACATTGATGCGCTCCAAGCTCTACCAAGTGTACGGCCACAGAGGACCGAAGGAGTCAAAGCCATTGGAGGCAAACATCGGACTTTACTATCACCACACAGTGTTTGAGTTCCGTGGCGTTTTCTGTCATATAAAGAAAATGTGATATGAGTGCAAACACAACGAATAATAGCGGTTTGGTTCCATCAGAAGTCATGTGGAGAGGAGCCCGTACGCATTGGTCACCCAAGGACCCCGGATTTCACTTACATGTGTTAACCCGGTGGCAGCATTGCTTCCAACTGCCTTCCATGACATGGGCGGAAGCGTATAGCAAACGGCGATCAGAGTACGTCAAAGGGACTTTATCCGAACACAGCGGGCTGATGGTTGTTATAGCGAAGTTCAAAGCGGTGTCTCACTTCGCGTGGCCTGACAGAAGGTGTTCGTAAGGGACACAGGTGTAGAATGTTTGAATACCAGACGAGGCAGCGCGGCTGTTGGTGATGACTACCGCGTTTTACCCATGGCGGTAGGGTATGAGTGTGCGCACAAAGGTTGCAGGGTGTGCACAAACACTTCAGTTCTCCAGGGGCCGAGCTTATGAAGAACTCCATTGCCCTTCGTCCTTGTGGCTGTCGCTCGCTCAAACTCGTGCTCGCCTGACTGCTCGGCGTTTGGACGCTGACGGACGTTGGGCAACAAGGCGTGGTCTGTCGTCCGTTGCCCCCCGAGATGAGGTTGCAAAAACGCTGGACAGCGTCGAGACCAGTCCGGTTCGTCGGATCTTCCAGCGCACATCTCGGCTTGCGATAGCGAGGTGAAGCGTCGCATCAAATACTCGCCGTTACGAAAATTGCATCATACAGAGTCGATCACCTGGAAGCACCGACGATGGGCACATGATTCGTTTGGTGAAATTTCTCATGTCCCACAGCAGTCCGCACAATTTGGCGAGAAAATTTGTTGTTGGAGATGCCGACCCGACGTTGTGGAATCGTAACCCATCCGGATGATCCAGGTCTGCCAGGGAGAGCCGCGGGAGAGGTGGTACCCAGTGAAAATGATGGTCGACGGGGGAGTTCCTGGTGAACCTCTCTGCCGCTGACCTCACATGTTTTCTCCACGAGCCAATTGCGCCTTATGATTGGCTGACTTTCATTTACTGCTTTAACACCGCTGTGCGCTTCGTGCCTGCCCGCCTGCCCGCCTGCCCGCCTGCACCGTCCACTGCACCGTCTGCACAGCTGCAGCGCCGGAACTTGCCCGATCATCTACCTCCCGGTGGGACTGTCAGGATGGACGTGCCTTCCGCCACGTGCATCACTTGTGGGGTTTGGATCTGAACAGAGTGAAGTTGGTGCTGATAAACTGCAAGCGACGACGGAAGGAACTCCCAAGCGACTCCCATCGGACGGTTTCACTATTGCTGAAGGATTCTGCAACGCTACAAAATATTGGGGTTGAGAGTGTGGCTTTCGGGCTGTCACGGTCTTGACATTTCGGGATCGATCTCAGCTGGGCAGGTAAGCTGGGCTAAAGAAGGAAGCTCCACAACTCGATCTACGCAGCGATTGTGACTAGCGGTGACTTTTTACGAAAAATGTACTGCCATGTAGAGAGACCTCGCCTCGCGTCTGCGAATACATAACAAAAGTATGAGACTCAAGGTAGGTCCGGAATGCAACAGTTCGTCCCATGTTTTGTTGTTGGTTCGATGAACAATGGAATTGCTTTGACCGCCCGCGCTTGGGCAGAACAACAAAGATGCCATGGCCAATGCCAGCCCGCGCGAGAAGAAAAAAGAAGAAGGCGGGTTGGGTTGTTGGCCAACATTCCCATGCCATCCGAGCAAAAACTCCCAAGCGAAGGGCCATTGGTGCCATTGGTGCCGCATCTGTTATCTTTCTGGTTGGCCCGCGAACCCTTGTCTCTTCGGGATTTCCCTTTCTTGATCCGCATTGATTGGCCTCCAATGCACTTGTGATGTGACCGCCCAGTCGAACGCCCTGGCCCGCGTCTTGATGTCGGGAGTGGAGCGGGGAGGGCCTGTGTGGCTTGAAAAAGGCCAAGGAGGCCAAGGAGCATGGGCGTGATACAAGTTCTCCCAGGTTTTTCTCTTTGAAAAGAAATGTGACGATGACGCTGCCATCGCAACCAGAAGCCGTTTCACCCATCGGAGCCATGTCAAATCGAGCAACAGCCGCGTGACCGTGAGAGACGGGCGGAGGCCAAGGAGACAGGACCGAGCATTCAGGAACAAAGTTGTTTTGCATGGGCTCATTAAACCAGCTGCACGCTAGCGTCGGTGCAAATCGGGTTCCTGATGGCCGCCTCTCCATCGCATCCAGTCTTTGGGGAAGTCGCCGGGATCGTGAAAAGTGTCTTGCCCCACCGCCGAGAACGGGCTCAGGTCTTGGGTTCAGCACGTTCGTGAGTTTTGTCCAGTCCGGCAGTCGCACCAGCCACAAGTCTGCCCACTGTCCAAGGATTGCCAAGCCAGCGTTGCAGCGGATTTGCAGGCGTTTTGTCCCGTTTTTGCAGCGGAGCGCAGTCGGTGTCAGTCGCCCATCGTGAGCTCGCGCTCTGTATCGTCGCCTGTGTCGCCCTCTTCCCGCCTCTGGATTTACACACACACTCTGGCGACGACCGTGAACGCGTGCCGGGAGCCGGGATCTATGACTCTGTGTCCCCGATTTCTAATGTACAGGTACCCAGGCTACAACGTTGACGGTGTGTAGCCGTGACCCCGACGCAGCAGGTGCAAAGGCCGAGCTCCAAAAAACTCGCAGCAGCAGCAGGAGCAATTAAACACTCGGCCTGCGTGCCTTCCCGTTTTGGGCTTTTTCAAAAACCGGGGGTGCCTTCCCGTCCCAGAATCGTTTCATTTCAAGTTCTTGTCGACACCGACCGCCGCGGCCTTCCATTGCAATTAATACTCGCCTCTTCTCCCTTCTTATCTCTCCTCCCTCCCTCTCGTCTCTTCTTTTAGTTCTTCCGTCTGTTTGTTCTGCGAACGCCACATATTCCCCGCCTTCACCCATCTCTCAGATTTTAATAACTAATACAAGCAATATCCCGTCCGGGTTTTCCGACATCGATACATAACAGTATCTTCTACTTCTACCACATCACATCAACCTCAACCCATTAACCACGTTCACCTCCCACCGCCAGTCACCATGCGTCAGAACATCATCTTCGTCGCGCTCTCCGCGCTCACCGCTGCTGTCGCCGCCCAGTCCTCCAACAGCAACCTCACCGTCCCCGTCGAGTCCGTTGACGTGAACACGAGGAGTATGTAGCACAGTTCCCAAAAAGTCGTGTCACCTTGAGATACTAACGCCGTCCTGTCATCAGACCAGTGGTGTGTTGCCCAGTATAACACCTGCAAGATTCTTTGCAACCAAGGAAAGGATGTCAAGACCAACGACTGCAAGCCCGTATGTTTTCACCTGAAGCATCGCTTAAAGAAGCATCACTGACCGCAGGTTCTCTCACAGGACACTCTGAAGTACGAGTGCGCTTGCAAGTCCGGCACCCCCGAACTCGACCAGTACACTCAGACTATCCCTACTGTACGTGTCCCCCGATTAGGTTTTTGTTCTTGCAGCCAGATTTTTAACAGTAATGCTCTACAGTTCATGTGCCAGGCTGCCTACTCTGCCTGCATCGACAGCCACAAGGACGATGCTATGGGCCAGGACAAGTGCAAGGAGGACATCTTTGACAACTGCGGTACCCAGGACCCTACCAAGGCCGAGATCAAGACCACCTCGTCTGCCGCCGCCACCACTTCCGCTGCCAAGCCCACCGAGACCAAGGGCGCTACCGCCGAGACTTCCGAAGCTGCCGCCGCTTCTTCGACCGCTGTCAGCAGCAGCTTTGCTGCTCCCACCAACGCTGCTGCCTTCCTCGGCAACGGTGTTGCTGCTGTCGCTGCTGGTGTCTTCGCCGCCGCCCTTATCTAAGCAGCACAGCTTGTGAAGGAATGACGGACGTTTAGTGCCTCGTTGCTTTCCAAAAGTTTACTTTTAGGTTTGCTTTAGATGCGACGGCGTTGGCGGTTATTTTCAGTTCTTTGTATTATGTTCCACCCAGGAAGACCCTCTAGGAAGGCTTATTTGGTCCGGCTGGGGACCGACCAGATGATCAGGCATGCATCGCGGCGGCAGCATCCACCTTGGACACAAGGCAACAGGTTGAAGGGCAGCATTAATACGTACGCAGACGGCTTGAGGAGAGGAGGTCAGGTGTGTTTGACAGCAGAAATGGGCAATTTAACGCATAATTTTGGTGGCAGAAAAGTACATGAGGGGTCTTGTACGCGCGTGGTTTGGTGCCCGTTTGGTTTGAGGAAGAGTGACAGTCAAATACCCTTTATCTTAATTCATAGTTGTGCCCCTCTACCCTTTCTTTGAATCTCATTGTGAGTGTCGTGACTTGAAAGCTGAGGGAACGGGATATAATTAGGTAAGTCTTTTCTTTTTGGGACCCTTTGTCAACTGGTTGTCTATACAGCCCTTTGTCTACCTCGAGTTTTCACTGATAGAACTCTTTGCACAGGACTATGCTAGCAGAGATGGGGGCTGCTTCGGAACAATGCGATTGCGAATATAGAACCTCTATTTTCTGGCTCGCTTTGTCGGTAACTCATTGTCGATACAGCCCCCTGTCTGCCTCGAGACGTTGCTGATAGAAATCTTCGAACAGGAGCTTACTTAGCAGAGATGCTGATTGCATTTAAACAATCCCGATTGTCAACACACCATGTCTGTTCAGGACTGCTGTTGTTTTATCTTTCTTGTTTCAAATCTTCCAACAAGCCACGTACATTGAAAAGTGCCCTGACGGCAAATACGTACTCAAAATTAAGATGCCACCTAAAAGAAAAGCCAACGGAGCGGCTCCCGGCCAACGGGCCGCCCAGAGACTGCGATTAGCCACAGCAGCTCCCGATGCCGGCCCTCCCCTTCTTCCTTCTCCTATGCTTCCTCTTCCTTCTCCTATGCCTCCTCTTCCTACCCCAGTCAACCGGTCACTCGTTGGACTTCCGCTTGAGATCCAAACGCTGGTGATCGTTGAGTCTCTGGTCGTACCATTCCCGAACCGCTGCGCTTTCGCCCGGTTTTGCCAGGATTGGGACATCTGCAGTCGACAACAAAGTAAGCCCCAACTCGACGAAATCCTGAGAAAACTAAGAGTGGACGTGTACACTCCGAGCCCACAAGCACTGAGGGTGCAGGCGGGGCAGGGACATGGAGGAGTAGGAGAACAGTCTTTGGGGGAGATCGAGAGTTATTTTGCGGGACACTCGAAGAGAAAAGCGCTATGTTCCCACTTTCAAGACGGCACACATGGATTCGACAACAAAGACTGTGAAGAGTGCGGATGCGTTCCGTTCGAGAAGACGGTGATGCACGAGGACATTGCGGCGTGGGATTGGGAATGGGAGGGGAAGCTGGAACGGGGCGTAGAGGGAGGGCCTTGGACTGGAAGGCTCAGGAACGGGATGGGTTATCGCGGAAATGGAAGAGACGGGAAAAGAAGTCCGCCCGAGTGGTGGGATAGCTTGTGTAAGGCGGCGGAGATCAAGGGAGAACATGCCTTCTTGAACAGCATACGGCATACGAGCCACGGAAGGTTTTTGTGCAGGGAGGTGAAGAGGGAGAGAGCGATGAGGCCGGACAGGCTGGTCGTCTTGAAACAAAGGCCAGCGAAGTGGCTCGGAAGGTTCACGCAAAGATGTTTGAAGAGACGGTTGATGAGCGGGCTCGAGGGGCTGGTCAGCTGGGGGGATGAGATGGTCGGACTCTTGCCCTTCGTTGAAGGGTTCACGGAGAGGTTTGATGACTCGGGTTATTTGAGGGTGCACTCAGGCCAGGGACCGTCCTCGCCCATTTCCGCAGCCATCAAGGCGGGACCCTTTGACTCAGTAAAGAAGAATCTGGCTCCAGAATCCCCTGGCCACGAGAGGCGGTTTCTGTACAGAGATATCCGCCACCTCATGATCAACTCCAATACCCGTTGCGACCCGTGGCAAGGTGTTGATGACGATGGTTTCGGTATTTTGCCTCGCACGGACCCGCCGACCGGCACGGCACGGGAGTCTACGATCGCGCTCAAACACCGGCTGGCTTTCGAGAACATGGTGCCGTTGTACGTTGACTACCAGGCCCTGACCAATCTCGAGACCCTCGACCTCGACCTGAGGAACGTTCCCAAAGAAGTCATCAACGAGAGCCGGTGGCAGACGCAGGAGGTGATAGGACTAGCGCAAAGGCTCCGGGGAAAGAACCTGCGGCTGCTCGTTATCGCCGGCCTGCGAACCGGACCTGATTGGTGGCCTCACGAAAAGGAGCTGACGGCCGAAGATCTCGTGCAGGAAGCGGTGCATCCCACCGAATGGGATGAGGTCAACTGGTTCGTGCAGTTCAGGGGCGCGCTGAGGCCCGGGGGCAAGCTGCTGCTGGTGGACGCGAACACGGAAGATCTCGGTCGACGTCAAAGCGCTCGCCATCACGAATGGATCAACGAGATGTACGATCAGGAGGTGGAGTTTCCGCGTATCAGCAACGTGAGTCATATCTTGGGCACCTTCCGGCTGATGCGACGCCGGTTGGAATGACATGGCCGGGTACCCCTTTTTTTCCAGGACGCCTTCTACAATAGCGCGGCCGAGTTGCACGCGGACTCGGAAGATGAGGAGGAGGAAGGAGCGGCAGAACGGGGACTTGCAGCACTGGGTGTGCAGCAAGCGCCGGTAATCGAGCATACACATCAGTTAATGGTCGAAAATGGAACGATCACGTTTCTGGATTTAGATGGGAATTCTGAAGATGAAGAAGATGAAGAAAGAAGGAGGGAAAGAAGAGGAAGAAGAGGAAGAAGGAGTGGGAGGAGAGACAGAGAGAGAGGGGTCTGGCTTAAGAATATGTACGATGCGGGAAAGAACAACGACACGGTAGTATTTCTTATTTTATTTTAGAGTATCTTTTTGTGGTTTCCTTTCTTTTTTTTCAGTTTCATGGCGCGCGGTAGATATATGTAGAAGGCTAGAAAGGGTCATAAGCAAGCGGAAGTGTATAGTTAGCTGTGTATATGTACGGTTAATGACAACGTCTGCATGGTTCCAAGATGAGGATACGTAGGAAAGAGACTGACTGAACGAAGGCTGACGTAAACGCAGGTTGTCACACTGACTTATCTAGAATAAGATATAGTAGGTGGTTCTAGTTGGTAATCGTTGTATGTCTGCTCCTTGAAGAGGTGAATGGATTGTAATCCTGGTGTTGATCTGTTGATCAGTCAACGTCAACATTAAGGGTTGAAATCAATATTTTTTTCTCCTTTTCGGGTTGCGCCCAGTATCTATCAGCGACGGGAGGCAATAGCCTATGTACTATAGTACAACAGACTTCTACCAGACGAAAATTCCCATGCTCAAAGCCTTGACATTTGTCAAGACTTGGTTGAGATTGTCACAAGTCTTGTTCTTTTCAGTTTGAAGGTCCGCTTGCCACAAAAGTAACAACAGTGACCATCATAACCTGCCGAATGTTATTGTGCTTGATCAGGCTTGGGGCAACTTTCTGCGCAGGTAACCGGACATAGGTTCGTCGATCGCAGTTCAGTAGTTGCTGTTCGGGTTCCTGTTCCTGAGTTTGACATCCCGATCCCGAAACTGATAGGCACCCTACATAACAGGTACACACCATGTGCAGTTATTCTCGGTAGCCAGGGCGACCAATGACCATGAAATCCCGGATTTCCAAACCATCCCGGCCGTACCAAAAGAATTTATCTCGAACATGGATGGATGCCGGATGACTTTCTCTGGATGTCAAATCATCAATATGTGACAGGTGCCATGCAATGCGGGGAACAGCTTTTAGGTAGTTCTACCCCAGCAGCAACATTCAAATATCTTGGTTGAGTAAGGTCAGACAACTGAAAAAATACCCAACCCTCGATTTGGGTTATTCTGCATAGGTAGTGTAGTCCAATCTCGAGTGAGTGCCTGGCTACCGTAGGCCGTCGGATGAGTGCCCAAGATGACTCGAGAAAACCAGGTCAGGTCGGTAGCGGTGGTCGAGTCGTCGAAATGGATAAAAGGTGCATCGATCATGGACGCGATAATCAGGGCGACGAACTTTCTCGTCCACTGAGGTCAGAGGTCGTTTGGCGTGGACCGATTGGCTGTGGTGATGCCACTGGCCAACGCCGTCAAGGGGAATCTGCATCCTGCAATGCTCATTGGTCAGCCGATCATATGGGTGTCAGTTGCTGAAGATGCATTCGCCAGTCGCTTCTGCCTTGGTGGCAACCACTCGTGAGAAATCAGTCGCACACTTTGCATCTGCCATTTTCCATCTTTTGGACCACTTGGAGAAGGAAGTTCCTGCCTGCCCTGCTTTTTAATCGTGGCTTCTACATTTTACTCTCACACTCATTCAGGCTGGCAGGCAAGCGGCGGTGCCGGGCATCTATCGGCTATCGACGTGCCTCCGACGACTTCCACTTTCAAACCTTCGTCGTCTTTCGTCCCGAGTCCACCGTCACGGGTTGGGTCGAGGATCCAAAATGCGTGCCATACGCCCCTCTGACCCCTCGTCTGAGCTTTGCCTTCACTTCCATTCAACCGTCGCCCCAAACAGTCATCGGGTTTGCCTTGCGACGCGCATGGCCACTCACTCACCTTCGTTGAAGAACAAATCGTCTTCGTGAAACCACACTTTTCCGGCTGACAAAGACACCCTGCGGCCGCTTACATTCCTCGCCATAACCTCACCTTCCAACAACCTCACCCCATCTCGACGACACACCGGTCACAAAACGATACCACAGTTGTGATGGAAAGAGGTTGTTCACGGTCGTCGCAAGGAGTCGTGGTTCGTTATGGCGCCTAGCAAGGAATCAAAGCGGGGCTTGAAAACCCCAGAAAGCAACAACAACAATAACAATAATAGCAATACGTCGACTACCAACGGAGTAGCAGGCGGCCATGCCAGCAGAGAGTCTCGCCATACCGGCCTGTTCCTGCCTCTCTTCGGATTACGCCTTTCCCCCGGCAAGCGCCGTCAGATCGAGGCCGAGAAGGATCGTCTGCTGAAGGATCGTAGACAGTCGGAGCTTGATCGATACCACCTACGTCGCGGACGGGCGCCGCCCCTACCGTCAACCGTGGACGTCGAGCTGAAGCCTTTGGATGATCGACAACCGAACTTGAAGTTCAGTGTTTGGCCTGGTTCTACAGTTGCTAAGCTCGAACAGCTCATCCGACGCCGTTATCAAGACAAGGGCCACCCCATCGCTACGGCTGCTCACTTCACTTTCTATGTGGACGGCAAAGTACTCAATTTCGAACATGTGCTCGTTCCCTCGTCTTCCAAGATCTGGTACCGCATGTCCAGATCTTCTGCCGAGGTTGACCAGTGGAAATTCAGCCAGTACAAGGATGCGAACAACCAGCCAATTCCCCCAGAGCTCGCGACTCAACTCGTCCAGGCAATCGATATAGGCGCCACGGTAGGCGAGTTGAGACGCAAAATTGCGACGTTCATGTCCATCTCTGATCCGGACAGGGTGTTGCTGGTGGCTCGAGGCGGAACACGACCTGGTCAGTTGCAAGGAGACAGCTGGGTGGTCTCAGAAGTCAAGAAACACTGGCTTTGCTGTTGGATTAGTTATCACATTGCGCGGACGAACGCATATGCTGTGATTAACGGCCTCGGAAGGCGTTACGTCTATCATCCAGAGTCGCATTACTTCTATGACGGAATGAGTGTTCGGCGCTGGCAGCATCACCTTGATTCTCGCCTATTTCGGAACGTTCGCTCACGGGGGAAGACCGGTTTTAACGCCCACTGGTCAGAACTTATTTTGACGCTCAACGATACGCGTGTCAGTAAGACTACACGCATGTGTTGGGGAAAGACGTACGAGCTCGAACTTCCTATCCAGGCAGCCAAGATCTTCTCGACCGAGGAAGCATGGCTCCTACCCGACGAAACCTGTAGCGTCTGCCTTGACAACAAAAATCTGAGCGTCATGGCCTACGAGATTACATCTGGATGCGCCCACAAACCAACGATTTGCAGCGCCTGCTTGGGCCAATGGATCGCCTCGGAGCTGGAGACCAAGATGTGGGATCGGATTAAGTGTCCGGAGTGCCCCAAACCCCTTCAGTTCGCAGATGTCAAGAGAAACGCATCAAAAAGCATTTTTCAACGGTACGATGAGCTGGCTACCCGAGCAGCCCTCGGAAACATTCCAAACTTTCGATGGTGTAAATCGGCCAAGTGTAGCTCCGGCCAGATTGACGATGTCAGATGTGTGCGCTTCAAGTGCAAGGCCTGCAAGACATCACATTGCATTAAGCACGACGTACCCTGGCACTCTGGCGAAACCTGCGAGGAGTATGACAAGCGTAACGTTCAAAAGAAGAAGGACGAGAGGGCATCCGAGGCAGAGATCATCAAGTCTAGCAAAAAGTGCCCGTCGTGCAACAAGGCCGTCCACAAGTTTTCTGGTTGCAACCACATCACTTGTAAGTTCGATTACCATGCCCGTCTCCTTAAACCAACTTATTGACTGTATTCCTCACAGGTATCTGCTCCCACGAATGGTGCTACATATGCCTAGCCCCCTTCCAACGAAACGAACATGGCTTTCTCTACTGTCGTCACAAACCCGAGTGTACGGAGCGAGATCCCTTTGTCGACCTGATAGACCCTCAGAATGCGAACGCCGACCCCCGGAATTTTTTCGAAGCCGCCAACCACGGTTTACTCCCGCCGCAGTTTCTTAGAAACCGCCTCAGAGTCGTCCGCGGCAGAGCTGCCCGACATCATCCTGGGGCCGAAGCCAACGAACCAGGCCAGGAGCAAGTAGGTCGCAATCCTGGTCGCCTTCACCCCGACATGTTTCTCCCTCCTTGGATGCAAGGAGTGGACCGAGGGATGTTTATGGGTGTTGCTGGTATTGCGGATCATGTTGCAAACGGCAATGGCAACGGTAACGGTAACGTTCGTGACCCTATGCACGATCTGAGGTTGTTTGCGCAAGACATGAGGGCAGTACGGAGGGAGCGGGCTTAGGTACTTCTTTTCCCCGATGCACTTAACGAATACGACATGACTCTCCATAGCTTCAGTGCCATGATCCTCGCCTCTCCAGATATGTGGGCGGCGTTTGTTGCCCATGAATGGATGCGCAGAACTGGCCATACTCATCTGCCCCCTCCTGGGCCTGCAGAAGCCCGCGAAAACGATATCGAGGATGTATTTTCTGAAGTCCTGGAGGAAACGTGGTTCGACATTGTGGAGGAGGGTGAAGCAATGGAAGAAGAAGCTGGTGGACCGATAGTCTTTGGCCCACATCCACCTCCGGCTCTGTTCCATTGGGAGGCTGATCACGACGTGCCGCCAGTCTTCCCAAATGGGTTTCTCCCTGCTCATGAAGAGTATCAGGTAGATGACCTCCTCTGGGATGGTGCCTTTATTATTCTCCCCCGCGGCCCAGTCCCTGAGCCACGCGACGTCGATGATTCACACGGCGCTTTCTGGGCTCCTCCCCCAGTAATCCCTCGTGCACACCATTTCCCCACCAGAGGACATCGGACACACGACGAAGACGAACTCTTCATGCAAATGCTAGAAGATGGTACAGCCGAACACCAACCTCTTGATCCCCTCGACAATCTCTTACTGGATCGCCCCCCGTGGGTTCCTGACCCCCTTCAACCTCCTCCACCTCCTCCGGCGACGATCCGCGACGTGGAGAGAATGGTCAATACAGAACCTCCTCTTCCTACTCCGGGCTGGGAAACTGTCCTGACCCTCCTTCGACCTTGGTTTCACGAAGCACCGTGGAGGTTGGAGCCCGCGACGAACATCCCCGAGCACATTGTCGGGCGAGAGGATCTAGATGAGTGGGTCGATAATGCTGTGGACGTCCTGATTAGGCGTAACAGGACTATACTGCAGCTTATTAACTTTGATATCCGTCAAGCAATGGCTGCTGCAGTGGAAGAACCTCGAGCAGGGGTTGTTTGAGCAGCAAAACTCAGCAGCCTGCTGTCTGCTGTCTGGGTTGAAAGCGTTCATCAAGATGGGGATAAAGATCGGAGCCAGCATGATCTGTAATGGCATTAGTACTACTGTCTGTCAAACTTGTAAAATGTTTCCGAGTGTTGCCACTTGAGCTTCTCCCGTTTTTTTCAGGTCAGGTAACCATAGTGCTGGACTTTATTGTGAGGATTTTGATCGAAATCGATCCTTGCCCTTAGCCTCAACCATCTAACGGACGGGAATTTGTGTGTCTCATTGCGGACAGAGTACCGATGTGGTGGTCTTGTCATAGCCGTTATCCTCATGCATTTGACCAACGTGGAGCACACCGGGGATACTGTGATATACTTCATGGGATGTATAATAACCTTTAGTGGCACATATGGGCACTGTTTAAGTGCAAGATCTTGGCGGTTGACCACCAGGTCCAATGTTTCACTACATAGCTTAGCCTCACCTCATGTGGTCGTTCGAGTTAAACATGTATAGTATTCGTATCCATCCAACCGAACTTCATAATTGTCCTCTTCACATTGACCAAGTGACGGGAGATCGACGTGATGACCGCAATTAACCAACACTGAGAGTAGACATCCTCTATGCATGTGTAAGCCGGAAGGTCCCTTTAATCAGTTCATGTGCAATTTCCACAGTAGCGGAAACCAAATCTCTGATAGGTAGGTATATGTTCTTCTAATGGCTCACCTCACGATGCTGTCAGTGAGTGAACTTTCCAAAAGTTACAAACTGCTACTAGTACCATAGAATACTTATAACCCTCTACTCTCCTTTCTTTTATAGGTGTATGAGTAGATCAAAAGCCGTTGCATAGGCCTGGAGCTCGAACCATCCTGTAGCTCGTGCTCTGCGCGCCCAGGACGGATATTTCCTGCGTACGGGCGACTGGCTTTCTGCCGTCACTTTCCTTTTACATCATCACTTTATACACAATCAAACAAGACATATATTGTCACAACGTTTCATTATACCCTACCAACGGTATTACACTTGGACCCACAGCTGAGGTATAAAGAGAAACGCAAGGACTATACGTAGGTAGCCGAGTGAATGAGACTAGAGAAATCTAGGCGCTAAGGAAGGATCATCTTTCAACCATTTCCAACCGGGACATATAATGATACCTACATTGACCACTTCAATACCACCTAGGTAATTGAATTACCTACCTTGGAAGAGTGACTCTTGGCGGCGGGCGTACAAAGCTTAATCTCACCTCTTTCTTGGATTCTTCATTTTACATGAATCACAGGCTCACACAACACCTACACGATGACGTCCCAACACATTCAGGTAGCCACGTCGCCCTCCAAAGACGCCATCCTCGAAGCTCTCGTTGAAAATGTGCGCGCCTGCAATGCGCGCCTACCGCCCGGACGCGACAAGATGGTCTTTGGGGCGTGCGAACTCGAGGTGGAAATGCCGGTGCTTCTCAACCGGCCTGACGCGCCCCTCCCGTGTAGGGAGCCGGCCGCCGAGTTCGAGACGGTCAACGCCCACTTTTCAGCCCAAGTGCACGCCTTCTTCAACGCACTGCACAACCTCGAGGACATGGCAGACAGGCCGCCTCGGAAGACCTGGACCTCTGCCGCCCAGACGAATGCCTTCGGCCCGTCATATGCGTTCTCAACCAGTCCTTCGAACCCCACCTAGACTGCTTGCACCGCGCCTTCCACACCCGCCACCTCACCGTCCAGAACCCGGACAGCCTGCCCCTCCTCCACCGTGTCACTCAGCTGCGCATCCTCCCCGACCGGGATTCTACCTCTGACCCGATCAACATGCGGCCCGTCTCCTTACGCACGCCCCTCGACCTCACCACCCGCCTCCCTCAACTCCGTGAGCTGGACTGCCCCTGGCTGTGGGAGCGCCTCCCTGTTGCCTTCACATCCAAGGCACTGCGCATTATTTCCCGCGTCTGGCCAGGTCCTTGGCGCGATGACCGCGCCGAGTTCGCCCGCGCTGTGCGTCATGCCATGCCCTTGTTGCCGTCCTCCCTCGCCAAGGTCCGTCTCTGGTTCTGGAGGCCCAGCTCCCATGGGGACGAGATGGACCAAGCGGCGCAGATGCCCGACCTTGTTGGCTCATCCTCGACCAACGAGGAGTTTGAAGACATGGACCCTGTGTCTCTTGGCCTGCGGGACCTGGGAAGTCGGCTGGAGGAACTAGACGTCCGCGCGCTCATCACCCCCGACCTTTTTCCTTCCGGCGGTTTGTCATGGCCACACATGCGTCACCTCAAGGTGGAATTCCACCCGTGCGCGCCCGACGGCCGCTGGTACTTTTCCGGTCCGCGAGGGGAAGATCCCCACCCGACAGGGTTCGCCATCACACAGAGAGAGAAGGAGCACTACCCGCCCCCGCCCGGCCAGGAAGACGACGACGACGACGACGGCGACGACGACGACGACGACAACGACGAGAAGACGCACGAGCTGATGTCCCACGAGGAGGAAGAGTACAGCGGCGATGCACCCGACATATACGACCTTCGCAGCCCCGACATGTTCCGTCTGCGCCCTATTGCCGAACGCATCAACCCTTTGCTCTTGGCGTTTGCCTCGTCTCTGCAACGTGGGCAAAAGATGCCCGCCCTTCGAGACGCCGAGCTATTTACCTGGCTTACGTGGCGGCCCTCCAAGGAGAGGGCGGGGGAGTATGAAGGGAGTGATGACGTGCCTCCGACTTCGTATGAGGACGAGACGGTCATGTTCCGATGGGGCGTGAGATACGAGGCGGCGCCTGCCGTTTGGAGGAGGAGGAGATGGGAAAGGAAAAGTGACGTGGCAGGTCGGTGAGGACTGGAGGCCGGAGAAGCGAGTCATCAAGGCGTTTGAGCATCTTGTGGGCGGAGACGGAGACGGGGAGAAGAACATGGAGTGGAAAGCGTTTGAGTTTGTGGAAGAGAGGGAGCAGGATCCCGAGGACTATATCTGATTCTCATCAGATTGGCCGGTAGGCCACACAGTCGATTTCCAAATTCAATTAACAAAGGGCCGGCGGACAATCGCGCTGCTCACCGCTACGATTACCGACAAGCAGAAAAGAAGACAGACACAGCCAGCCAAAACTTCTTCAATCGATTCTTAAGTGTCTATACTCCCCCTCCCTATATAGTCAAACTCGTTACTACCTACCTACCTCGCTAGTAACCACCACCACCAGCAGCACCAGCAGCACCAGCAGCATTACTTACCCTCCCCTCCCCTCCCTCCCCATACTAAACTAAGCACTAAGCACTACTAACACCAATACAATACGCCTCCCCCAACCAATAATTCGTCACACAATCGCTACTCACCGCCAGATTCCACGCCAAAAACTGCTGCAGCGTAATCCCCGCCTGGCTCGCCAACGCCGTGCACGTCAGGCCGTCAGTCACAAGCGACCACTTGTTGCAGTTACCTGGCGAGCCGGACATGGTAGGCCCAGGATGCGTGGGCTTGGCCGTCGTCGCCGT